AGAAATGCTACATGGCCAGCGGAAAAGGGCGGACACCAGCAGTGACACAAAGGGCGGACACATCTTAAGAAAGAATTGAGAACCCCTAACAGTAAACTGTTTGGGGGAAAAAAGCGACCGGAAATCTGACGAAACGTAGCCTCACCACCATCAGCTGGGGAAACAACCTCAGCTGCATGGGCAAAGTCCAAACAAATGAAGCGAGTGAATGATCTTGTGATGCCTCTGACAAAGCAATCAGAGTTCTTTGAACACATGTATGTAATTGTATGTGTGAATATATATATATATATATACATGTGACTGTGTCTTGCAATGTCCTCATCCTTTCTGGTGAATTGTCCAGGTCCTTCATCCAGGCAACTTCAGACCGAGGAAGGCCACCCCATTCGCTCTCCTCGGACTCCATCTGTTGCTCATGTGCGTGACAGCCATTCGCCGGGAAAATCACACGCAAGCCGCAGAGAGCCCATGCAATCCGGCTCAAATTCAAATGCTCCTCATCGTCATCAGCCAAACGGTCACAAACCGCACCTCTGGCACTTGTGGAGGGAACAGGCGTGGGTTCAACAAGGAATTTTGTCAAAATACTCTAATGTCTAGCTTCAGCATGCGTTAGACTATCGTGGCAAGAGAAGAAAGCCATGTCCAAATCTGAACACCAGGGCAGACCTAGCACCTGTTAGTTGAAAGTAATTGGTCTGGCCCGCGTTGGTATCAAGCTAAATGAAACCAGTCCAAGAATCAGCCAAATTGGTTTGTGCTTGTGCATAAGCAAACCCGAAGTTCAGTGAGACTCGCTGGGCAGGTTCACATTCGTCCACAGACCATTGACAAAAGGGGACAAAGTGAGAGACAAGCAAGATTAACATACTTTGACTTTGATCCAAGGCATCTGCAATGATGCCGAGCCGAATCTGCCAATCTACCACTCATGTCTACTGACCCAGTTACATTAAAGCGTTTGAGGTAAGGGAAATATGTGCAGCCCAAACAATCCGCAGACCAACAGTCCAGTGAAATAAATACGACATGTCAAAAGTAGGACTGCTTCAATGCAACGCAGCCGGCCAACCGAAGACTGGCAGGAGACAACAGCACAATGCAGAGAGGGCCCAGATATTGGCAAAGGATCAGATCGAACGCAGGTCCCAGATGCTTGTCTGGATGGTGGTTAAAACCCTTCCCACAAGTATTATATATATATATAGTCAACTGAGGTAGTTCATTCCCAGCGCAAAAATGAAAGCACCAACCAGTTGCGTTTCCTTAGTTTCCTTTGTTTTCAAGCTGGCTTTCAGGCCTACACCGCAGCATTTTGCTGCAAGGAGCTGCTGCCCAAGCAACCCGATCACCTGGGTCATGCCGCTTCCTTTTGGCAAATAGCATGAAGCGATGTAGCGCTGGCATGTGTTAGAAGAACGCCCCCAAGCTGCATGGTCGCAGAAATTGTCCAATTCAAAATTATAATCAAACACGGTTTTGCTTTACTTTTCGGAGAGCAGGGTGGAAAGCAAGTCAAATCATCCTGCCATGCTGAACAACTCTCCAGATCTCTCAGTGGTCTTCTAAGGCACAGGCTTCAGCAGCATCAAATTCACGGTCTTCCTAACCACACGTGACTGAGAAAACATGTGAAATGTATTCACCAACAACCCGAATTCGGACCAGTCCTTCTCGTTCCAGGGCAGTTCCACCCCCAGCCGCCGACTTGCATCGTGCCTCGAGAGAGTCTTGGACTGTGAAACAAAATTCATTGATATTGTTTCTAACAGCTTCTGGTTACTACTAGTAAGGCACTTGTTTCTAATACCTACTTGTTACTACTAGTAAGGCACTTGTTTCTAATAGCTTCTGGTTATATAAATAGATTAATAGCAAACATTGTTACTACTAGTAAGGCACTTGTTACTAGAAGCGATGCACTTGTTACTAGTAGCTTCTTGTTTCTGCTAGTAAGGCATATATTATATAACCCATCAACCTATTTCAACACAAAGTTCCAAGAGACGAAAACGCTGCCGCTTTGGGCAGCTGGTTCAACGAAGGCTGCTAAAGCAGCAAACTTCTGAGCTGACTTTGGCTCAGCTACCACGGCCACAGGCGGCCTATCTTGCGTCAGTTGATTCAGCTTGCGTTTGTTTCAGAATCCAATCCTGAGACATTCAAGTATACGATCCTACTCCGCCAAACACAAAATAAAAATAGCATAGCACTCCTGAAACCTCTGCCCTTTGGCATGGAGATACTCAACGCCCTCCACCTCTTCCAAAAGGAACCACGGCCTCAACAGGACCAACAGGGACCGTCAGCTACCTGCAACACACCAGCGCTGCAAGGCTGACAATGTGTTGTGGATCGCTTCAGGCTGCGGCAGACCGTTGGCTTCTCCAAATCCAAGTCCAGCTGAACCACCCACAACCCCAAGGCACAAAGCCTCCAAAAGGCTTCGTTCGATTGGGGCATGCCCTGCAATGGAATTGACGTCACAAGGGGCTGGGAAGGAACCTAAGTCTAGTGCGGCAATGGAATCGACGTCACCGCCAATGTCCACAGAAGCCCTTTCAGCTCAAGTCCAAGGCAAAAGCACAAAGCAGTTGCAGTACTGATCAACGTCGTGCCGTGTCCTGCCTAAGAATGTCCAACGGTCCTCTGTGATGCTTGAGAAGGTAGAGCACCAAACCAGAAGTTCTCATGGCCTGCAGCAGTCCATGCTGCCACTCTAGTTCTGTTCCAGGATTAGGTGAGTGATGAACATACATCGTTTGTCTCTGAGGATTGGCTCGCGGTTTTGCTTATACAGCAGTCGCAACTTCTCTTGAAGACTTGAAGGATCTTGAAGGTAGCTTTTCGGAACATGCACTGTGCATTCCTCTGCCCTGTCTATGAGTCTATTGTGTGAAGCATTCAACTTAGATTCTGGCATCGGACCAAAGCCCATGCATCTTTGATGAGCCATCGTCACCAGCTCCAATGCCATCCGCCTGGAAAATGCTTGACTTCAAGAGTTTGTGCTCCGGTGACATTGAAAGTGATGGACAATGGACCAACCAAAGTTCGTTCAGGATCGGATCAGGGACTTCCACTCTGATTAGAGGCTTACGGTCAACTCATGTTGACTCCCACACAGACTTGCGTGTGAGTGTGTGTGTGTGTGTGTGCGTGTGTTGAAATAGAGAAACCTCCCAACCAATGGGTTGTGGTCTATTTTCCTTCTTCCAGATATTCTTTGGCAGGTCTCCCTATTTCAATACACGCCCACTTTCACTTTCTTTGTCTTTGGTTCTCAGCTGCTGGCCGGAGGGCATGGCTGTGGACCACAGAGTATCTCATGCCTCGCTCACACGGCATGAAATAAAAACACAAAAAACATTTCAGGTTCACCTTTCCACAGCTGAGTGAGCTGCGTGGATGCGGGCATTTTGTTGAAGCGATCACCCCAATCATGATAGTCCTTGTACTCGGTGGGTTGACGTGCGTTCCACCAAGACCAAACACAAATGACTGCGAACATTTGGCACTTTCAACGCGGCAGTTTCGTGTCCTCCAGGGCATCAAGCTTCGCAAGGTGTGCCTCATCGAGTTAGGCTCTAACCTTTGCCTATCGTTTACATTCTGTCAACCCTTCATGGACCTCAGGATGTGGTAGCCAGAAAACTGCAGTGGTGTTGTGCGAGATTCACGGGCTGGTTTGTGTGACAGGAAGTCACGTAATAATATGTGTGAAAGCAAAAAAATGCCTCCTTCCAAGCATGCTTTCCTTATGATTTCATCGTCTTTATATATAACTTTATCTATATAATATATATATATACATACCGTTTCTCACAGACCTCCGCCTTGAAAGGTTCGGTCAAACGATAGGTTTTGGAACGACATTTTACCAAGGCCCCTTGCAGCATTGGGAAGGTGACAAAGAAAGTTAGGCTGGGGCTGGGACTGATTGCACAAAGTGGACTGGAACAAATCGCAACACTAAAATGTCTGTCATCGCACTCGCTAGTGGCTCCTGATGGTGCACACAACGTAACTCGATACACCTGCATCGACTGCATCACCATACGCATAACTTACATATGCGTGAAAAGATTGCAATACAATGCAATACATACCAAGCAATCCAAAACCTCACTGCGTCCCGTATCTCCCAGCCTCTGTTGCAGCATCACGAGCGTTACTGTGCTGGAGTCGCTGCAAAGACACAGAAATCACCTGCAGAATGGAAGGGCAAGTAGTGGCAGCACATTCCAAACAACTTTCATCCACGGCCCAGTGTGACTCGAGGCATACCCTGGCCCTTTGCAAAACATCAGTTCTGGGCTTCTTTCTGGTCCCCTTCTTCCACGATCAGCCACCGTGCTCCCTGTGAGGAACAATGAAGACACTCAAAAAGCTTTGATCTTACGGCACAGCTGCTTTTTGCTGTTGTGAAAGGGTCCGAAGTTGGGGGCCTCTGCCATAAGAAAGCTCGCTGCTCTTGCTCGCGGATGTGGGTGCCTGCGCCGATTTTTGGAGCGAAGCGTTCACTCGTCCCAAGGGGTCAGCTGGGCCCATCACGTGAAACGATTCCAAGGAAGCTTCTAGCTACTAGAAAGTTTGGTTACTAAGAAGCTTCAAAGACATACTAAAAAGCTTCTTGTTGCTAGCTACAGATGAAATGATTCCCAGTGAAACGATTCCCAAGGAAGCGGTCAGCTGGGCCCATCACGTAGCATTGGCATTCAGGATGCAGAGTCGCTCGCGGATCTTTGCATCTCTAACATAAGCCAAAGGCAAAGCCTGAGTTCCAAACTCATTTTACTCATTTTGTCTGCTGAATCAGTCTGCTGACCTGTGCTCCGAACCCTCATTGGAGGTGCATTGCCAGGGTCCTCTTTGGAGGCTTGTAGCCTCCTCACCTGACTACATGCACTCGCACATTTTCTTTGTAGACTTCTTGATCCCACTCCTCGTCGATTTCTCGAAATCCACGAAAGTAGGTCTTGATGCTACCATGACCTTGCAAGAGAAGTCATTGTCGTCCGGACATTTCGCAAGTCTCCCAAGTACCCCGCCATTCCTTTCCGCACCAGGAGGTGCAGGGCGTGGTCTTTTCTTGGCCAAGTCCCACTCTGCCTCGCATGGCTACAGGATCTTTGAGCACATTCAAACAGGTACAATCTCTGCATGGGTGGTGAATCCGGAACGGCGCTAGGTCGTGAAACAGCAACGGCCTGCCAAGCCTTGAGCATCTCTTCTTCACCTCGAAAAAACTAGGACCATTTCTAACCACCAAAAAGGTGTGCCGAGCTAAGGGATGCACCAAGCTGCAGCCCATGCGCTAAGAGGCCGTTTACCAAGCCCACGGTCATTTCCTCCGCCATGAACACTTGACTCAGCCCAACTCTGATTGCTGAAGAACTGAGTCTTGTGCGCAGTCATCTGTGTACATGCCACACGCCTCAATCACATGCAATCTGCACCCAGAAAATGTAACTCCAAGAAATAGTGGCGTCAAGATGCTTCTTTCAGCACAAAGTCGGGGTGGGGCAAACGGTACAGTATCACATTGGAGAAACAACCCACAGGTCAACTGGGGTCGTAGCGGTGTTGGTGTTCCACTCAGTCCTGGCAAGAACATCCTTTAAAACAAAAAAAAGTATATATATATATATCATATTATATATATAGTTTAATACAATATATTATATATATACACTTCTTCCAAAACCTGCAGGATGCTTTGCTCGCTTGCTCCCTTCGCTTGCTTCGCAGACGCTTCGCGTCCTCCGCATGGGATTCTTCGGCCACCGGTCAAAGGACACCGATCGGCGGATCCAGTACCTCGGCTGATCATGAGAAGGGTGGAAGCAACAGCTTGATGGGTTGGAAAACAAGTCCTTATGTGGGGCCTGCTTTGGAGGCCTTCACCAACGAGCAGAGGATGCCATTGAAAAGGACACTTGGAAAGCCAAGCCAGGAGGGCCCAATTGCCCAAGTACTGTAATATGCTAATACTTATTTTATGAACAAGCATGATGATGGAACAAAATTCATCTAAGCTCCGTCTGAGCCTCCACGGATGCGCCCAAACGCGCCAGGTTCAGAGGCGCTGAGAAACTGGGGAAAGAAGTGACGGTTGGAGACAGAGACCAAGAGCATTATGGTGTGGGAATAGCGTCTATCCGATCCTCGATCCATCCCCCACCGGCCTTCCTACGACGGTTTTGGTAGGGGGGCCAGAGTCGAGTCAATTTGCACCTTTACATTCAGGACCTGACAATACATGAAGTTGTTCAAACATGTTCAAACTGATGACATCCGCACCAAATAGGGCCTTCAAAATGATTTTCAAGTTGAGGACCTTCCAATGTACTGACTTGCATGCACCACCGATACCACCAAATCTGGACCGCTGGCGGCCCTGGCGCATCTTGCATTTCAATGATGGCACCGAAGGCATCACCGATGGCATCTCCAATCAGCAGTTGGATTGCCTGGAGAACACAAAGAAAGCAAACCGAGAACTATGGCAAGGCACTTGGGACTGAGGGGAACCTTTCAGCAACCATGCAATTGCCGAGAGGAGTGCAAGCAATGGGCAATTTGCCATGTGGACATCGGCAGAAGCAACGGGCAAGCGTCGTCTCTCTCTAGGTGCTTGGCAGAGCCGCCATTGCCAATCAGTTCCCTTCGTCTAGCCCTGGCCTGAACATGACACTGGCAAACGCTTGCTCCTTTTTGCGCTTGGATGCGAACCAACTGACACAATTAGTTTCACAAAACAAGTGTCTATATAGGATGAGTTGGTCCAGGCTCTCCTCAGGGTCCTGGGCAAACATCGGCACCTGACACGTCACTTTGCTCGGCATGTTCCCACCCCACATGCAAAGCATGTCCAGCGGTGAAGTCCGCCCGCACCGAAGGTGCCGAGGCGTTGTGGAGGCTCGAACGAGCCGTAAGAAGTCTGGAGAGTTCATCCTAAGCGTTAGCTTGGGGGGGGGGCCTCCTCGGAGTTACGAAGTGCTGTGCTTTGCAGTGCTTTGTGAAGATTGATTAAAACAATGATATGGTCTGGTCTTGGACCAAACGTTCGCGACGCTCGTTATGCTGGCTGGTGAAAATTGCATTATCGACATCGCGGGCGCATGTGCACCCGGGGAACACTGCATTATTGACATCGTGGGCGTGTTCGTCCGTGTGTCCTGCCTGACCGAGACAGACAGACTGACACACTGAGACAGACAGCACACACTCCGTGCGGACGCCTCGCTGTGAATATATGGTGCATGTTGTGCTGACTGAGCTTACTGTAGAAGGATAGCTAACCATCTACCAGAATAGAGATCGCTCATTTAAAACATTGGACATACTCAGCCAAAACCACACGTGCTGGAACGGCACCTTCTCTGGTGAAGGAGTTCGGTGCCTTGGCCTTGGAGTATCCGACTTGGGAAAGATCCAAAGCATGTTGTTTGATTTACAACAAAAGGGAACCTACTGTAATAGCCAAAGGAACCTATATAATAGCGATGGCCTCCAACCTAGAAGCAATAGCCTCCAACCTAATAGCGATCGCCTTGCCAAATGACAAGGAAATACTCAAGCTGTGGGTGAAAATCAGCTTCCCAATGATGCAATGGGCACCCAAGCCCACTTCGTGGCTTCGGAGCCCTCCTGACATCCATCAACACTATTTGGGGGATCTGCTTTGGACTGTTCAGGCTTAAAACAGTTTCCAGCTTCAGTCTGGGTGCAACCAGGCAGGTGGAATTCAATATCTGTTCAACCATCTGGGTCTTTATGTTGCTAAACGCTAGTGTGGAGGTAATAGCAAAATGTACACGTGTGTTTCTGTGCTGGGCCTACAATGCATATTAATACACTGTTCTCATGGATGCCATTGATGAAGGAGACATTTACACAACTACAAAGGGTGGCCTGTGGGACTGATACATGCACCCGCAAATGTGGACACAATGAAACTTTAATGCATGATTTGTCGGCACAGGCATCTTTGGCTCAGAATCTCTAGAAATCTATATAGTTTGGGCCTCCAACTATAGAGCTTTCTCCAGCGCATCGGCACGAAATTGCAACACAGCGGGAAAAAGGATACAGTTACATTGAGCTAGGCCAGTATCAAAATACGTTTCTCAAAACGTACGCTAGGCGCTTGCGCCTGCCATGTGCACACACAAAAATCGCTGCGTCCGGCAGAAGGCTCTCGCCTGCCCCTTCTGGCTCCACTCTGTGCAGCTTGCGTCCTGTCAGTCCCGTTCGGTAGTAACTCCCGTTTCATGTTTAAACATGTCATCTAAATTCCTCTACTGGCAATAACGGAGGGCCCTCAGTTGTTTCTTTTGGCGTTTCAGTAGTCCTTTCTTGCTTTGTGATGTTTTTTGTGGTGCATGAGGGGAAGAAAGGGCCGCTCGTAGAAGGTGCAATAGCTACTAGTAGCCAGCAAGAAGCTATCGGGTTTTTCAAGGAAGCTTCCGTTAGTGTTCCAGGCTTTTAGAATTGTTGTTTCAAGGTTAGTAGTGGCTTAAGAATGCATGAACCTGAGTCTTCTTCAAGGAAGCGCCCCCTGCCTGAGTGCGGGGGAAGCTTCCTTTGAAGAAGCCCTCGCACTATTCATTGGTTTCTAGATTTTGGGGAGACTCAACTTTGAACTCAACCCTGCGCTGGAGTGTCTTCCAACGTCCTTGGCTGCCGCGCCACTGTGGCCATTTGCCTGCATAGATATACATGAATGTTTGAGATGCTTGGCAAAACCTCGGGGTCTTGGTTGTCAGAGGACCTGGCACCAACCACTCCAGGAACTGGGGCTCCCAAACATTGGAAAATTAAAGAAAGTGAAATCAAGCAATTCATAAACTATGCCCATCTATGCACCATGTGCCTGCAAAACCACAAACAAGTTCCACGTTATTCAACAGCATGTGACAGGCCATTCTTGCTTGATCAAGTCCCGCCGACAAGTAGCGCCTATATGGTGCTGATGCCACCACCGCAACCTAATGTGCACTCACTTCTCTGCTAGCAGTGCTCGGGGCTAGAGTTATAACATGTGTATCATGCTCGCTGGCCAACACTGACTTGACGGCCCAAAAAAGGCCGATAGAAGATGATAGAAGTAGAAACAAAGCGTGTGGTGAATGGGTGCGGTTTGCCTAGAACCATACATCTACCAATGACTGGTGCGGTAGGCCTGTGACTTCTATCCACGTGGATATCGTTAACAAAAGCGCCATGCAAAGCATATCAAATTGATACTCATATTCAATTTGATATGGAAACAAAGGAGGGAGCACTCTTCATGTGTTGCTTTGGTTGCACCAGGAAGCACTCGTGTCTGGCTCAATGCATGCTTAATTCATCAGTCCGCCTGTGTCCTGCTTGTAAAAGGTCAGGTGCTGCTTGTAGAGGTTTGGAATAGGTGGTCTTTGGACTGTGGCCGATGTCATCCAGAACTGGCTAGCTCTGTTGATTGTTCTGGCCTGTGGGATGCTTGTCGATTGCTAGCTCTGGTGCCCACTTAGAATCTTACAGAGAAGGCGGTTCAAGGGTGAAAAAAGGCTCAAAGAATAGAAACAACAATATTCAATAGCAAAGAATGGAACAGAACACTAACCTGTGCTCGTGGGAGAACCAGGAAGATTGGCGATAGCATTGCGAGCTTTAAAGCCACATTGCGTGGGCAAAGGCACTCTTGGAATCTCTTGGGAGAGCTTTGGGGACAAATCCCCAAGCAAAAATGACTTTTGTGTCAGCTGCTAGAAGTGGTTCAATTGATTTCAGTTTGTGGGCAGAGCAGCAGTTTACGTGTTTGGAAATTGCTGGTAAGTCTCTGGTACACTGGCACAATCTTTGCTGTTGGCTTGTTCGCGACATCGGCTCAGTCTGCCGTCTGCATGAGATCTCGCAGGGCTGCTTCACAGATTCTTTGCAGCAAACAAAAAAATACGGCACTCAAAAGCATGCGTTTCGTCGCGCGAGTTTCCTGGTTCTTCAGTTCCAACATGTTCCAACACCATTCAGTAGCAATCGACAACAGGCCAGCCGGTGTCCACCGACCCGAGTGAACTCCAAGAAAACAGTCTCAAAACGGGCTGGGGAAAGGCAAGTAGTGGCGTAGTGGTTGTGACTCAAAAGAAAACCAACCGTCACAGTGACAAGCTTCCGAAAAACGAAACAAAAAAAGTAGTTTGCATCATTGCATCACCAAGGCAGGCTTGCTTGCCAAAAGACGACGATCACCGCCACGATGCATCCACAGCCCTTGAACTTTGCCTGTTGATGCCCGAGCGAATTGTTTGACCAGGAGTTTGACCAGAAAGGCCTAGTGATAGTCTTATGGCGCTACTCTGGAACTTGATGTGGGCACTGTGTCGAAATCAAAACGAACATATCATATAATGACATGGGCAAAGATTTGCGGACAAAGAAAGCTCTTGCACCAGTAACGAGCCTTGGCTCTCTGCCAAGTCTGACACTCAGCAACGACAGTTTCTGAGGCACCCATGGCCATCACTTCTTAATATGTCTCATCGATCACATCGATCACCAGAGCTTGATGAGGTCTTTCAGGTGTCTTCACTGGGAGTCTGTTTCATTGTCGATTCCTTCTGTCTGTCGGTCTACGGTTGAATTATGTCTTAATTGTTTAAAGCTCTTGACTCTTGAGTCAAAGGGGGGGGGCGTTCCATCCTGCATCAAAACTTTAGATGGACAGCAAAAAAGTGCCTTGCATTAGATGCCACACGAGCAGATTCAGCAGGGGTTTCCTTGCTTTGAGCCACTCTGAGGCACTCCGAAAGCCGAACTCCAAGGCACGAGATCAACGGAAAAGAACAGCAGCGCCAGTGGCCTGTCCAGCTCGATGGCACAGCGCACCAGTTCCAAAGCAACCTGACGGAACCAACAGAAGGATTCCGAAAGAACGGAATCATCTACTCAGTAAGCAAGCTACTAGTAACAAGTGCATCGCTACTAGTAACAAGTGCCTTACTAGTAATAACAAGAAGCAATTAGTAACAAGTGCCTTACTACTAGTAACAATAAGACTTTAATTAGAATTGCAATTACTAGCAAAGGAATCTACTAGGACCTTTTCGCGCGATCCGTTCTTTCGGAATTAATCAGTAATCTACTCTCCGATCTCCCAGGTGATACTGGAGTGGAACTGAGCCCGTGCCTCTTCTCCCCACTTATCACGAACATCTGCCAAGCTCAGTTGCAAAAAGCCTCCCTTGGCCTGCGAGAGTCTCCGTCGAGAAAAACAAAAGATGTACAGTAGGTAGGTGGTGACAAAGGTGCCTCCCATTTTGGCTGGAGTGTCTGCTTGTCGTAAGGGCAGAATGAAGGATCTCCCAGCATCTGGCCAGGCAAGGACACTTGGTGCGGCACATCCAACGTGGAAATGTGGATGAATGTGGACGACTGTGTTGCACGCCAATGTGATTCCTACACATGCATCACCAGGCGCACCGAAATGTCAGTAGGTACTCCGTTGTCCCCAGAAACACAGCCACGCTGGAGCATACTACCTCGTGGCAAAAACATGTTTCTGCATGTTTCTGCATCATATGTCACGTGCGCTGCGCATCACTTGGTTGGAGACACTCTTGATCTGTGAGACCTCTGGATCGAAGCCTTCAGCAAAACATGCAACCAACAGATTCCAGCACAAATATCGACATCAATTTGGCAAGCATATCACGGAGCAAAAAGAGTCTTCGTCATATTCTTAAGGTTTGGTTGCCTGCATCACTGCAGCCAAGCAGCCATGTCTCATCCAAACGCCCAACACATCGAGTGGGTATCGAACCGGAGCAGCTGTGTGCCTGCACTTTTCAGGGCACGAAAAGGCGCGAAAGAAACATTGGGCCCGGGGAGACGGCCAAATGAACTGACCGAAGGGTTTCTTTTTTGACAAAAAAAAATCCATTCATTTTCGTCGGGCGTCTCACGTCTCAAAACGCTGGGTTGGCTTTCTCTTCGTTATCAATAGTTTTAGAAACAAAATACCTTTCAAACAGTGTTTGGTGAAAATACTGCTAATCTAGTTTCAGCTACACGATTCTTGAAAGCGTGTCTTCACATGCACTATACTTCGTCTGAAGGTTGCAGGTTATTCAACACCTTCAAACTGTGCGTCGTATCACAAGGTATTTGAGAAGTGTCTTCCTGGAAAGCACAGCTCAGGGTTGACTGGTGGCCCATGTTTGTTCAAGGTTGATTGGAGCCTGTGGCGTTTAGTTGAAAACTATGCATAACGCCCTACCACCCGACAAGTTCAGCTTGCTGCATGTTTAAGTGTGTGTGTGTGTGTGTCCACCCCTGGACAAAGGGTTTTCCAACACCACTTCTCACAGGCAGGGGCGTGTGGCCTTCTTGTCCTACCACACGCAATGAAGCTGTGGACAAGAAGGGGAAGCAGGGACTGATCATCCCTGTGTACCTGCCATTCTATCAAGCTGTGACTCCACTCTCCACGTTTTTGATTCATGGTTCTTCACGTTTCCACCCCCAAACCTTTTCCTACCGCAGACGTGCAGCCGCGTTTGATCGTTTTGCAGCCGCATTTGAACGTGTGAGTGCACTTGTGAACAATGTTGAACAATACTTTTCAACGGACCTTGCCACCTTGCCGTTCCCTCGCCTTCCTTCCCATCGGAGTAATTGAGTTAACTGAAAACCAGTGTCAGAGTGTGTTTCGCTCAGCCGTCCCACTCGGGTGCTGAGTGTGATCCCCGTCACTGGGGCGCCGCTCTTACATGGGAAAGCAACAACCACAAAGCACCACCACTCATCGGACTTTCACAGGAAGTCACCGACACCCTCACCGAATCAACCGACACACTGGCCGCCGGGCCAAAAAACGGTTCTTGTCGAATACATCAGATATCAGGTTTCAGATTTCGGATCCATCACGTTTATCTCTCCACGTCATGCTTGTTTCTTCACGTTTTGCCATATTAATGCCGTGACTTTTTCATCAGCAGAACTCAAGTTTGGGCATTAGAGTTCTCCAATCTAATTCGAGATGCATGAGCACACTTGACAACAAGCTCACATCCAGCACCACTTTACAACATACTCCCCATCAACACGAGCGATGAGACTTTCAACAACATTATGACAATACCACTCGGCACTTTTCCGCTGCATCCTTGCTGCTGCGCCGCGCCGTGCCATAGCTACGACTACGATATGCATTTTCCGTGGCCATACGCTCACGCCACGCCACCACCATTACCTACCACACAACCTCAACCCACATGGCCGCTGCCACAGCCGCCAACTGCACCCACCTTTCCCTCGCCACAACCATCGGCATACCCTCACCCACAACCACAACCATTTCAAACACCACCTTTTTTGCCCAGTCCGACTGCCACTGCGCTAACCTACGGCACTCCGTCCACCTGGACGTTTGTGCAACCATCTCACATGCCACCGCAGCCCACACATCCAACTCCAGTGTTTCCGTCCGCAGCACCTTCCCCTTCATACATGTTGCCACAACTACATCCCACACCACCTGCTGAACCTACCCCCACTACACAGACACATCCCCTTCCAACACCACAACAAGCAGCAGTTGCCCATCATCCATCCACAGACCCACAATGCACCATCCCCCAGGGAGTTTGGCAACCGTACTCAGTCTTTCCCCCAGTCACACAGCCTCCACCCCAACCATTGCCTCCGCCGCCCCCTCCACAAGCCATCGGCGCTCCACCACCAGTCCAGCCCCCACTCCCACAACAGGCGCCATCGGACCCCACACCACCAGTCCAACACGTCACCACCACAGCCACGGACCCTTCTTTGCCGGTCCAAAGCATGACCCCTCCAGCTACTGGCTCCCAACCTTCCGCATCACCATCCATTGCATCAGCGACACCAGCTCCTGGACCTTCACTACCTGCAACAGACAAGCCCGACACCACCGCCTCACCGGCACCACAACCACCTTCCCCACAGCCACCACACAGCAGTCGCCGCCACCACCACAAGAGCCGGCATCGACATCACCACCACTCAAAGCACCACAGCGCAACCCGGCGACGCCGTTCACCCTCGACATCCACTTACACATCCAGCCTTACACCATCCCGCAGTCGCTCACCACCACAACCCATCGACTTACGCCCCAACACTGAACACACCAACCCCGACCCCTCTCAATTTCCCACCACAGCCGTCCTTCGTCGCACAATCAACCGTTGGCGACCTCCACCCAACTTTCACACTTTTTCACCTGCAGACCAACTCCTGGAATGGCTTGAATTCCACGCCACCCAATTCGACAACCCCAACCGACCACAGCACCAGTACATTGCCACTCTCCTCACAGACTGCAACATCACCTACAAGGAGATCACCGATTTCCGGCAATACACTCACGCCAGGTGGAACGACACCACTCACCAATATGACCAATTCCAATACTACGCCATCTCACTTCCTTTCCTCAACACAAAAGCCACCACACCAGAACCGCCCGCGGTTTCCCGAGCCACATCAACCCACCGGGAAGTCGCCCACATCAACGCTGGCCATACAGGCCCGGTCGGCAACATTGCCAACATCCTACGCCAAGGTCGATTTTTACCCAGCACACTTCACTTTGCCAACTACCCTGGCTTTTTTGCCCAGGGTGTCCGCATCACCCACAATCAACCCCATGATCAGAGCGAATTTGCTCGCATCATCCACAACACCTGGCAACTCCACAAGAACTCCCACTCCCTTATCATCACACTCCTTGCTTGGGGTGCCGCCACAAAATATACCTCCGGAGGTGAGGAACATGCCATGAACCTCCTCAACGATTACCACGGCGCAGTCTTCCACCAGAAGGGCCGCTGCTGGGTGATCCACCCGGACCATGCCATCGTCAAAGGACTGGCCTGGTCCACAAACTCCACTCCACCTGACACGTAACACCACTGTCCAACACCTCCACACTACTACCACCTCTACCTCCACCTTTTGTCTCACACCACCACATAACCTTTGCCTATAGCAGCAAAAAAGAGCCTCTTGCAGCGGCCACGCGAATTCTGAGCTTTCAATTTTTCAAGCTTTGCAGGTTTCGCTCTGCAAAATCTCATTCCGAATCTCACCAGCTGTTTTGATGAAGTTTTCTTCACATGTTGGAATTTTATGCGCTTGATCTTTCAGTCGGACTTGCATTTTCGCACCATGCCCGTGGGAATTTGATGCTCGTTTAATTCATATGCACGGCCACGTGATGACGCGCTCCCGCAGATCAGCTGCTGTCCACTTTCCGCCAACATTTTCAGCCACTACCAACTCCGCCTACTCACCCTATACGTTTACCATCCACCACCTCCTCCTGTGACTCAGCACCATCTCGACCACCCATCCGTTTACCAGCACCACTCTCAAAAGACTCCGACGACACACCATCAACACCCCCAGCCCCACAACCTGCTACAACACGCAAGCGGAAGCAACCACTGCCACCACCACTGAACCAGCAAGCAGACTGGGACGATTGCCGCCTGGTTGAACTCAAAGGGAACCCCCGACTCCGTCCCAACTGGGTTTCTGTTGCTCGCCGAGTGGGCTTCTCCGTCGAGCAATGTCAAGCCCGATGGCAAGAACTCAAGGACATGCAACGTCAGCAAGACCAGCAACTTTCCTCCACACCACTACCAACAGAACCACCACGACAAGCACCTTCCCTCTCACCAACACCCACCTCACCAGCAGTTTCCCCACCACCACATTCACAACCGGATTTCTCCCCTTCTCCCAAGACAACACCACCGCCTTCACCACATCGATCACCTTCCGCTGCTGTGCTGCTGCCGCCGGCTGCTGAGCGAGCGCCTAGTGAGAACAGTCATCCGGAGAAATCTCCACTTACGCCCGTTGGCAGTTATTTCATATGATCCGTTTCACCCCGCTTTCTCTACGGCGTGCCGCAGGACAAATCCATTGACATGCAGTGACAAGTTGTGTTCACGCCCGTTCTACTTTCGCCATTCTTTTTGACAACTTCGGTCTTTCATGTTCTCAGGCTCACTCTAGCTCCGCAGCTTTTTGTGTGCCACTTTGTCCTACTTTCTTGTACCCATCTTTATGGCCAATCCTCGCGCTCGCCCCCATGGCAACACCGCCAACACAGAATACTACCTGCCACAGCGCCCTCCGAGCTGGCTCCAACCTTCGATTTGCACTCAACCTGACTTTCAATCTCTCAACAGCTCCATTGACCTTCTTTTTATGGTCAACCAACACCTCCGCCACCACCCATTCCACACTGAACCTATGCCAAGCCAGACGTATTTTCAAGACCAGAGAGCATACAACCTCCTCTACCGAATGCGCGGCGACCTGATCTTGATGGACCGGCTGATTGATAGCCTCTACCAGGCTCGTCGGCTCCTCCAATTTGTCACCACCGGACCAGGCCTCCCAGGGCAATATCGCATCAACCCCACAGCCTCACTCTCCAGCAGAAACCTGGCCATTCTACACGACATACCGCCAGGTTTCCCACTACCACCCGGACTTTCCAGCCGTTCACCCTCTCCCTCACCACGTACACCACCGCAAGACGCGGAACATCTTCACTCTCACTGGACAGGTCCCCCACCACAAACCACCCCGGCCACCAACATCAACACTGCCACTCGCACCCGGGAACGCTCTCGCTCCCGCGACAACATTCAACACCGCAGTGGCTAAGTACAACATCCAGCACCGCAGCAACATCCCAACCCGGGCTCTACAGCGGCCGCCATGCAACTTGACAACCCTGAGACGACGTCCCTGGTCACAGTTGCTGCTACACTTCAGTTTT